TGTACACGAGGTGACGAGTGTGTGCGCAACTTATATGTAGAAATTTAACCGATTTAGACTCTTAGGTCCTTATGTATATTAAAATGAAGTTGTCTTATCATGTTATATCCTCCATTGCTAAATTTACCCTTACATGTTTTATTTAAAGTTGATTGGTTCATGTTCTACCCTTTATTGCCAAATAAACTCTTATATGCTTTAATTGACGTTGTTGCATCTTTTATTGTTACATGTTATCTCCTCAATTGTGACTTATCCTTACTTGAAGTCATTGTTACATGTTATCTCCTCAATTGTGACTTATCCTTACTTGAAGTCATTGTTACATGTTATCTCTTCCATTATTATTTATCCTTACTTGAAATCGTTGTTACATGTTATCTATCTTATTGTTGAGTTATTCTTATTTGAAATTATTGTTATATGTTATCTCTCCTATTGTTGAGTTATTCTTATTTGATATCGTTGTTACACATTATCTCTCTCATTATTGAGTTATTCTTATTTGAAACCATTATTACTTGTTATCTCTTTCATTGTGAGCTCATTCTTCCATTTCATTGTATTTTTGTAATTCTTGTGTTGATTTACTTGTCGTACTCCTGTGCTATTGTTATTATTGATACTTGCACATGTAGCGTAAAAAGGCGGGCTATATATGTGAGTTTGCGCATGTGGAGCGACAAGGCGAGAATATTATTATGCGAGTGTGGCGAGATAAGGCGGGCATTTACTTTATTGTTGCCCACGCGGCGAGACAAGGGGCGCTATATCGGGGATGATTTGTGATGGCCTGGGGCATTGTTGTTGATAATATTTGTGTAGCAGTGTGCCTACTTTGTGTGAGTCATGTATTTTACATTTTTGTTGTGTTGTTTCCTATGTGACCTTCGTTGTCTCTGATCTTACTTGTTGACTAGAGTCGTGATAGAACACATGCGCAAGCATACACCGTAATTAGTCACTCATATCAGTCTAAGAAAATGAACACTGATGTTTATTTATCATTTGCATGTATTCTCGTATACTTGCCTTCTGTATGAGATATTGTACTATTGACACGTGAGTTGTCAGTGCGGTTATGAGATATTGTTATTTCTAGCACGTGAGTTGTCCGTTGCAGATATTGGATATTATCTCTCCCTTAGCACGTGAGTCATGCGTGCAGATATGACGTATTAATGGTATTGGCATATGAGTTGTCCATGCGGTTGTAATTTGTTATAAGGGCACAAGATGCTAAGTGATTAGGGTTCATGATTTGGGACCTGTGATTTGTGATTATGAGGTGTGGTACTTCGGAGAAATTCTTGGATAAATATTGTGTGAAAGCAGTTGTTTTATTTGGGTTGTTACTTGTTTTCCTTTACTTGATTTTCACCGGACTTAAATTGTATTTTGCTTACTTTATGACGTTATTATCTGTTGGCTCCTTGTTATTAATTGTTATTCTAGTTCTTGTTGCAAGTATTGCAGAAACATTCTTATCATGTTTAGCTTTATATTGTTCCCCATTAATTTCATATTCATACTTGTACATGTTATTATGTCTAGTATGTGTCTTGATTGTTCCTCGTCACTACTCCACCGAGGTTAGTCTTGATACTTATTGGGTACCACTGTGGTGTACTCATGCTACGCTTGCTGCACACATTTTTGTGCATATCCAGGTACCTCGGAGCTTGTTGATCATTAGATAGCTGATCGAGTATCGCAGTAGAGACTTCAAGGTATACCTGTCATCGCGTTCGCAGGCCTCGGAGTCACCTTCTGAAATTTTACTTTGTACTATTTATTTCTATTTCGGAACAGTTGTACTTAAAAATTTTCTAGTAGTCTCAGTAGAGCTTATGACTTGTACTACCGATTTTAGGATATTGTATATCTACTTGGGATTGTTGGTTTATATAGAAATATCTGGTTCATATTTAATAGTTATTTGGTTAAAATCTGTTATTAATTCAGTAAATGTTAGGCTTACCTAATTTTAGAGACTAGGTGCCATCATGACTCCTAAGGAGGGATTTGGGTCGTGACACTTTAAAAAGAGAAGTCCCTTTTAAAACCGTTGAAAAATATTATATGTTTAGTTCAGTTTCGTAGCCTAATATGGATGGGGGTTTTACCTATATGTACTATATTAGAAACTTATTTACCCTCATTGTTTATGTTTTAACTTAATTACAAGTTGATATACAATTTATCAATTATATACAAATTAGTATTAATGAGTATCCGATTATATTAGGAATTGAATAGGAAATTCCCTCATCGCTCTTTCTCTTCGATCTCTTTCTCTCTCTCTCTCTCTCTCTCTCTCTCTCTCTCTCTCTCTCTCTCTATCTGTATTCTTATATTAATATCTTCATGTGGATTAACTGAAGAAATTATATTAATGTTAAGTGAAAAAAAGAGAGAAGATTAGTACTTAGCAAATTTCTTGCCTCGGATCCTATGAAAACGAGAAAATAAATAAGAAAGAAATTAGCTTTGATGAAGGGAATCATTTTAGTTATCATTCTTTTAGCTTTTTGGAATCAATAAACAAAATAGTATTAATTAGAAGTGACTAGATTGAATTGGAAACTATGTTAATCTATTAAAAAGTTTCAAAGCTTTGGATTCGAAAATGGAATTTTATGAAATTATTTTTTGTTTGGATTGGGTGTTGTTGCAAATGATTGGGAATATCCGTTGGAGTTTATATCTCAAATTTGAGACAATTTGGTGAAGATTCGAGTTGATTTTAGTTGAAATTTCAGATTGAAACTCGCAAAAGAAGACATGAACAAATTGTATATATTTTGTATGTCGAATGTAGAAACGGTATACAAAATATCTACAACTTATTAAGTTGTATATAAATTGTATGTAAATTGTAGTTTTTGACCGGATTTTGTGCAAAAAATATGTATTTATGTTGTAGATAAATTATAGATTTTGATCGGATTTGTATATATTTTGTAAAAAAAAAATTGTTACTTCTTGTAAATATGAAAATTTAGACAAAACTGGATAAATAAGTTTAAAATCTAGTATATATACGAAAACGTCCCAATGTAGAAATGTAACGTATTGTGGTCCTTGCTGTTTCAGGTCCGTTAAACCGATGTCTTAATGTGGCTTTCCCAGAATTTATTGCTCTATTATTAAAGTTTGATTAAGTCTAATAATCACATTCAATTCGACGAAGTACTCTTTTTAGCTAAAACTAGATTAAATTATGAATGAAGAATAAGTGAATTTTCGGAATATAATAAGGGTCCTAGTCTAATCAGTATTAGAAATAATGTGAGTAGCAATGATGAAAATTAGCTATAATTACGACAAAAGAAAGAAAAGCAATCAGTTCCGATAATAATGTGTGTACTAGAAACTGATATAATATAAGTTTAATATTATTGAATTTTAAGTAGCACTTGGGGAGAATTTAATGTTTATAAGCACGAAGTTTTAAAAAGAAACGATCGTTAAACTTAATGTTAGGCGTATGAAAATATTGAGATATAAATGAGTCAAGTGCGGGAAATAAATTTTTACCCAAATAAGGAACTAAAGGCAATAAGTATTGGACTGCCTGAATATGTCAAACGAAATCTGTAGTACTTCATTCAGTAATTGATAAAATGATATTTCACGGTCTCCTTCAAATCTACGGCTGAGAACTGAATAATTGTGTGAAATAAATGCTGCTACTAGTAGCGTGTAAAATGTTGAACTTTCGAGTTATAGGGAGAATTTAAGTAATATTAATCAATGCATTACCCTTTTAGGATTGTATTCAGTAACTATCAGAAAAGAAATAGGATGGTATGGTGAATAATATTCCTTCCAGTTAATTAGGAGACTTAATTCATTGTATAGCATTTAAGTCATGGTAAAATTAATCTTCAGTTTCTCTTAACACTACAATAGTGAAAGAAAAAACACAAAGGGTGTGTCTTTGTTGATTATTACTGGTATTGTTTGTTTGTGTCAAACAACTAAAACAACAACAACAACAACCCAGTAGAATCTCACCAGTAGGGTCTAGGGAGGGTAGAGTGTACGCATACCTTACCCCTACCCCGGAGGGATAGAGAAGCTATTTCTGGGAGACCCTCGGCTTAGAGACAAAAAATCCGTAACAACAAAAGAAACCAGAAAAATAATAACAGCAACGTGAGAGACAACAAATAAATGAAAGGGCAATAACACAAATACTATGTAAAAGTATGAAACACAACATAGACCGCTAGCATTCCTAGACAAAACACTATCAAACTAGCCGATACAAAGAGAAAAATGCTCGACTACCCCCTAACCTACAACCCTAATGCTCGACCTCCACACCTTCCTATCAAAAGTCATGTCCTCGGAAATCTGTAGTCGCGCCATGTCCTGCCTGATCACCTCGCCCCAATACTTCTTAGGTCGCCCTCTACCTCTTCTCGTACCTGCCAAAGCCAACCGCTCACACCTCCTAACCGGGGCATTTAGGCTTCTCCTCCGCACGTACCCGAATTATCTAAGCCTCGCTTCCCGCATCTTGTCATCCATCGGAGCCACACCCACCCTCTCCCGAATATCTTCATTCCTAATTTTATCCAGCCTAGTGTGCCTGCACATCCAACTCAACATCCTCATTTCTGCTACTTTCATCTTTTAGATATGTGAATTCTTGACTGGCCGACACTCAGCCCTATACAATATTGCCGGTCTAACCACCGCTCTATAGAACTTACCTTTAAGGTTCGGTGGCTCATTCTTGTCGCACAGAACTCCAGACGCTAACCTCTATTTCATCCACCCACCCCAATACGGTGCATAACATCCCCATCGATCTCCACATCTCTCTGGATAACTAACCCTAGGTACTTGAAATTTTCTCTCTTGGGGTTGACTTATGAGTCAAGCCTCACTTCCACGTCCGTTTCCCCCGTCACGTCGCTGAACTTACACTCCAAATATTCCATCTTAGTCCTATTCAATTTGAAATATTTAGACTCCAAGGCCTGCCTCTATACCTCCAGTCTCTCATTAATGTCGCCTCGTGTCTCATCAATCAGAACTATATCATCAGCGAAGAACATATACCATGGCACCTCCCCTTGAATATAGTGTGCCAGTGTGTCCATCGCCACGGAAAATAAGAACAGGATGAGCACAGATCCTTGGTGTAGTCCCATAACCACCGGAAAACGATCTGAGTCACCTCCCACGGTCCTAACCCGAGTCATAGCTCCATCGTACATATCCTTTATCGCCCTAATATAAGCTACCGGCACACCTTTCACCTCCAGGCATCTCCAAAGTATGTCCCTAGGGACCTTGCCATATGCCATCTCTAGGTCAATAAACACCATATGCAAGTCCCTCTTCCTATCCCCGTATTGTTCCACCAATCTCCTGATAAGATGTATAGACTCCGTAGTAGAACGACCCAACATGAACCCGAACTGATTTTCTGATATAGACACCACCCTCCTTACCCTCCCTTCCACCACCCTCTCCGAAACTTTCATGGTATGATTTAATAACTTGATATTCCTATAGTTGTTACAATTCTGAATATTATATTTGTTCTTGTACAACGGCATCATCATACTCCATCTCCACTCATCTGGCATCCTCTTCGTCTTGAAGATAATATTAAACAGCTCAGTCAGCCACTCCAAGCCTGCTCTACCCACATGCTTCCTAAATTATACTGGGATCTCATTTGGTCCAATTGCTTTGCCCCGACTCATCTTACGTATCGCTCCTACGACCTCCTCAACCTTAATACGCCTACAGTACCTAAAGTCTTTGTGACTCTCGGAGTATCCCAATTCCTCTAGCACGGTGTTTTCGTCCCCCTCTTCATTCAGAAGTGTATGAAAGTACGACCGCTATCTTTGCTTAATCTGGGCCTCTTCCATCAATACCCGAGCTTCCTCATCTTTGATGTACCTCACTTAATCCAGGGCACGAGCCTTCCTCTCTTTCGCTTTGGCCAGCCGAAATAACTTCTTGTCCCCACTTTTTCCCCCTAGTTCCTCATGTAACCAACCAAACGCAGCAGCCTTAGCTTCCGTGACCGCTAATTTTGCCTCCTTCCTAACTTCCTTATATCTTTCTCTGTTCGCTCTCATCTGCTCCTCTTCGATGCTCTCCCCTAACTTAAGGTAAGCCGCTTTCATTGCTTCCACTTTATCTTGGACCGCGTCATTCTACCACCAGTCGCCTCGGTGCCCGCCAGAGTAACCCTTCGAGATCCCTAACACCTCTATCGTTGCCTCCCTTATACAGTCCGTCGTCGCCGTCCACATAACGCTAGCATCCCCACCACTCTTTCTGGCTCCCATAGCTGTCGGCCGCCCTTCCAACTCCTGCGCATTATACTTAGTCAAAACTCCCTACCTGATCCTTGGTTGACCCTGAACAAACCTCTTCCTCCGCTTTTTCAAAATACTGACCTCCATCACTAGGAGCCTATGTTGTGTTGTGAGGTTCTCACTCGGGAATCACCTTACAATCCTCGCACAACCCTCTATCACACCTCTTGAAGATGAGATAGTCAATCTTAGTCTTAGCCACCATACTCCGGAAAGTAACCAAATGCTCCTCCCTCTTCGAAAAAATAGAGTTCACGATTACCAACTCAAAAGCTCTAGCGAAATCTTTATGCCAAAATAAGAACATGGTCGCAAACAAGTTATCATCATCTCAACATTGTTTAATGACTTATTTATATTAACTTATAAAATAGAAGAATATTTACACTGTTAGTATAATTGAACTTGTTATAGAAAGTAATACGCTTTATTTCTGGATCATTGTTTATAGTAGTGACTTATAGTTGAGAATTTTACAATATAATTACATGAAAGTTACGTTAAACCCCAAGATTTATGTCTTTTATTTTCTCAAATTTCTTTGTTAAATCATGGGGTTTTGACTCAGTATGACAACTTACCCACATAATTGCAGAAAAAAGCCATAGTTATAGATATTGGCACCAAATAACCAATAAATGTATATCACAACAATAATGTGTATATCAAAATGTATATCAAAACTCTATTTTCCTTCTTTGTGTATATCATAATATATATCAAAAAACAAATCCTTCTTTGAATATATCTATATGTATAACCCAAAAAGAATGATATTATTTTGTATATCACCATGTATAATACATCAAAAATAATGTGTATACCAAAATATATATCACAACTTTATTTTCCTTCTTCGTGTATATCAAACTATATATCAAAATTTTATTTTTATTTTTTGTATATCAAAAACTCATTTTTCTTCTTTGTATATCTCATTGTATAACACATAATTTCTTGTAGATATACACAAATATATATATGCTAAAATTGTTTTTCCTTCTTTGTATGCCAATTTCTCCTCCTTTACGGTCTTCAAAAAGTAGCAGCCCACTAACACTGAGATACATATTGATATAGCGCCCTTGTCTTCCTTCCCTTGGCAGAAACATATAAATCCAGTCCAGACGTGGCCTTGAGGAACATAAAAAAAATCTTTTGACTTGAAACAATAAGTTCATGATTTGGAATAGTCTCAACTAATTTTCTCTGTAATTTTCGAATTGTCATTATGACAGAATATTTCATAATGATTCCCAAGGATCGTAGTCTAACAATTAGAAACAAAAATATTTTATATGGGGGATTAATTCATCCGTTTGTGGCCTTGACTTTTTGATTCTGACGGATTCTCTTTTGTGTCGAGTCTTGCCTGAACAAGAACGATAAGAGTGAAGAGAGACAAAAAAGATAGGTGAGTATGAGAGGCAGTGAAGGCTATCAAGTGACAGTTTTTGGCAATTTTGAGGTGGAATTGGGAAGAGAAAGGGATAAGGAGACCACAAAGCGAGGTAAAGAAGGGTTACACGGAGAGAATAAATAAGGAAGTAAATTTTTTGGGATATGGCTATATAATGCTAATTTTTTTGGACGATATTTATCAAATATAATTTAAGGTCAAAAATTTACCAATTTCTATTGTATGTTGTCATCTGATGCCAATTTCTCTTAAATCATTATGCACACATAGGAGTGGCACAATTGTTTCTTTTCAAGTCGGATCAAATCATTCAAACGGTGGTTATTGGGAACCGGCATAAACATTTGAGTTGGAGTTTATACATACAATGCATGCAGGGCCGGTTTTTGGGTAAAGCCACTAAAGTCCAAGCTTTAGGCCCCCAACTTTAGGGAGCCCCACTTTTTACCCTTTAATGTTTTTTAAATTAAGTATTTTTACTCCTGTTACATATTTTGGTTAAAAATTCAAAAGGAAAGATATCTTTGTTCCTTAAAAATAGGCCGCTAACGTGTAAATGCAAAAAAATTATGGAAGAAATCAAGTGATTATTCTTTTTCTTATTAAATATTATGTTAACTTTTCCACTTCCTTGATTTTCATAATATTCGATTTTTTTTAAATCTTTCTCAGATCTTACCAAACATTACTACTATTATATTTTTCCTTTGTGCCTCCAAGAGATCTCATTCTTATGCATTTTTCCTCTATCAAGCTAAAGCTTACAAGAAGTACATTGAAAGCAACAAAAATTTATTTTCACATCAAGTTAATGAATCAAGTTCTTCTATTCCAACTTTTTAGTATTAAATTTCATATAACGTTGTTTTTCTTGATATCTTCAATACGTGCACATAGATTATCCTTTTAGTATTTATTAAAATTTAAATATGTCAAATAGAAAGTATAAATCCGGTGATTCAAAACTTAAGAAAAAAAAGAAAAGTTGAATCTTTGATACAATCCCAAAAAAAAAGAGATGATAGTACTCTAATCGATATACTCAATCCACATAAATTTTTTTTGATTCTTTTCCAAATACTTATATTGCTTATAGAATAATGATAACAGTTCCTGTAACAGTTACCTCTGGCCACCCTCGATCACAAACTAGAAGTTTAAAAGAAGTTTTTTAAAATTAAAATTGATAAAATCTTACTTAAGATCAACCATGACGCAAGAGAGATTGAATGGATTAACTATATTATCAATTGAAAAATAATTTTCAGAAGAAATTGATTATAAAATAAATATTCATAATTTTGCATCTCAAAAAGCTAGAAAATTAGATTTCAAAAAAATAATATATATGAAAGTTTTTATTTTAGGAAAAAAAATTAAAGGCCTCTTATGGAAATTTGGTTTTAGGCCCCTAAAGTATTGAGCCGCCCCGATTATGCATGACAAGTAAATCTTTATGTTAAGTATTAGGAGTTGTTGATTATTCATAAATTGATTAACTAACTTGTCATGATAAATGAATTACATTAATGTTATACAAAATCTTTACATTATTACAAAACTTAGAATTAAGATATTAGGAATTGTTTACACAGGATGGCCTTGGAGTACTATAACACTGACCTTATCGACCGACTGAGATGACGTGACCAAGTTAGCCCACAGAGATTTGTTACTTTTGTATCAGTTTTTTCTTCCATTTTGACACGTTCGGTATCTATTTTATATCAGTTCATTAGACACTATTAAGTTTTATTCACGATAAATAGGAATCATAACGAATTTGAGTGGGAAACTCATTTGTCATTTCACTTGCTTTACCTCTAAATCAGAGTGGCATCCAACAAATTACATTATATATATCTTGGGAACATGTTTGATTGAGTTGACTCGTTTTTCGTTAAAAACATGTTTTACTTAGAAAAATCATATTGTGGTTCATTTTTGAGTTTTTGTTCGCATAAAAGAAGATGAAATATGGTAAATATATAAGGTGTATAATAAAGAATGAAAATTAGCATTTTGATGATATTCCTAACTCGTAAAATTGACAACAATGTCTAAGTGCTGATTTAAGTATTAGCAATTGGAGTTGGACTGGCTAGAGGAACTAACCGAATTGGATCGAAATCATTTGCTTATTTCACAAACCCGATCCGAAATTATTAGATATGGTTTTGTATCAGGGGTTAGGCATAAGGCATGGATTCCAGGTCAAACCACGGATATGGTGCAGAAAATCAGAAAAATTGAAACTCTAGAGCATAGAAAATAATCAGTTCCCAATACTTGATTTACTACCACAGTGTTCAATACTTCAATAAATATTGCATTTTGGAAAAACCTGTGTTTTGTATGATGGTTAAATGCATTGTATACGGTCGAAATCGAGCTCTCCTTCGACATGGTAGGTCAGGTTCGGAACATGGCAATAAAGGACTGAAGATCGACCTCAAGTCCCACCGGGCTAGAACCCGGGGTTGGAACGCCCGCCTTCGAGAATATCGAGGTCGTGATCCAGGAATGGATCCTAGCCCCGAACGAGCTCGAAGAAACATTGTTAGCATAAGAGAAGACCGAAATATCCGTGACCGGTCGGATATTACGGCGGGAATCTTGGTACGTATCAATGAGGAACTGGCAATTGGCAAAT